TCATAGCATATATATCATAGAACATAAACATAACAATTTTCAAAAATATTATATAATTTAATTTAATAAAATTGCAGAAGATTCTTTGTCTTTCTTTTTAAACATATCAACGACCTTTGAGGTCAAAAGTTTTCACCTACAAGTAGCTTACTAAATAGCTGATAATGCGGCAACATTTCAAAACTCTTTTATAGTACAGTGTTTTCGGGTCATACAACAAAAAAAAGGATTTATAACACTTCACCAAGGTTGTTTAGTGTAAAGCTCGGAAAATAGGACTGAAAATATGGCGACAACATAAAGATATAAATACTTTGGCCAAACGAGGAGCAGTTCTCTCCCTTATTTCGTACACTATTGAACACGTTTGACAGAATCGAAGCTCACAGAAACATTTTTAGCCAGAAATAATTTGTAAGGATGCAAATAAAATGTTATTTCAATGTTGACTCATTAATAATATGTATTTTTAAATTGTTCAACTTATCGATTGGAAAGATAAACTTATTCTAATTTTACTCCTTAATTACATACAGTTTAATTTCATCCCTGCCCCTTAAAAGAAATACAAATTATTTTACAGCTTACAAAATATTTAATGCATTAATAAGAATTTTTTGAGATCAAAATTAGGTAAAAGATTTAAGCAATGTATTCCTACAGTACAGGTGCCCCTTCGTAGGCCCCTTAATTGAATGTTATTGAATGTTATAATTAAATTCGATTATAGTTTTGGCGAGTTGCGCTCAGGTTTCTTTAAACAACCTGTTGGAATTCCCATTGAATGTTATTGCAACAGGTAATCAGCAAATTTGTTTTGAATTTATGCAAAATCTGAATGAAAAGTTTTTTTTTTTTCAACCAACCTTAAACTTAATATACGAAATAATATCAGTTACTAGACGTAATATAATTCATTTAAATTCGCATGAAGAAGAATTTATTCAAATTTGAATGAAAAGTAAAAAAAATTATTTCTTTCCATGCATCATTAAGGTTAATGGACGAAATTTTGTCAATTAATATCATTCATTGATATTCTTCTTATGTTAACTCAAAACATTTCTCTTAAGGTAGGATTCTTCTCATATTTCTAATATTTAAAAATTAATGAAATTTTCACAGAATCAAGAAGGCAATATCAGTAAGTGATAATATCAATGAAATTAAATTTGACCGTTTTATATTAGAGGCAAGGTCAGGTCAAGGTCATTATCTTTTCCTTGACATTAAGAATAAAAATATACTGTTGCCAATCATGTGATACCTACTTCTATTTCAAAAGTTTAAATATTCTTTTTTTTTTGCATAAAAACATATTAATATATCGGGTCCATAGCATGATATTACCAAATTTACAAAAATAATTAAACTAAACTGGATATTGGCTAATCCGAATTTTCTCTGTTTATCTTAATCTTTTAGGATATATTAGTTATTTTCATATGCTTCCTATATTTAACTTTTTCTTATTTTCACATATAATAAAGTAGTCTTATAAATGTACAAAATGATACAAAAACAAAAAGTTTTGATCGTTTACTAAGAGAGAAAAAGTACTTTTTATGGATTTTTGGCTCCAATCTGCACTTTGATAGGAAACTTTTAAAAGCTAACAAAGTTCTAGTTTGTTTGAAAAATCATTTTTATTTGATATATTTTAAAAGTCTAGTCTCTCATTATTTATTTAACTTAAATTTGAAAAATTTCTCCAAGTCTTCAATTGTGTAAAAATTATAACAAAATTCATTGTTCTATTATAATTTTGAGAGGCAGAAAAAAGATATTTTCATACGCCACCATTCCGCCAAAAATATAGTCCCTGCTAGTTTTCAAACGCAGTTTACCATTTCTAATTAAAGTTGTACAATTTTGATGAGAAAAGAAAAATATGGTCTTTTAAATCCCTTACACCTCAATATATAAGACAAATAAGCTAATATACTTTGAATGTTTCATCTAGTCAGAAACCAGAGAAGAATCCTACCTTAAACTAAAAAAAATATAAAATGTACAGCGTCTGATATATACATCTGTTCAATATTAAGATGATGTTAGAAAAAAAGTAGAGAAAACTTACAATTACAATTTCCTATAATTCTTATCATATGCATTAGGAGTTGCTTGTTGATATATATATTCATTTGTAAGTCTGCCCTAATAAATGAATTCCTGTGAGTTGTATAACAAAGAAAAAAAAGTTAAATAAAATCATATTGGCCATAATTTCTTACTAAATGATAACGGACGTTCTACATCTGAATTGTTTATAGAGCTAAAACGTTCGTTTGTTTGGCAACTTAAGTCATTCTTAAATTGACTGAAAAGAGTATTGTCAATTTAGTTGAGTTGTTTAAAATATATTTATAAGTCGTCATATCATGCTTGATATTGTATTTATGTACCGGTAAAGGCATTTATAAATGTCTCAGTTGAACTATGCAGCAAATGCTTCATGCTCAAATTTTATAAAGTATGAAAAAAAATTAGTTCTTATTGATGGTGCTTTGGCAATTTTGACTAGCACATGTATTTGAATGTAATTTTATTTTTATACTAGCACATGTATTTGAATCTAATTCTATTTTTATATATACATAAAAAAAATTAACTCTTGCGTTAGTCATCATGATTTTTTATTTTAGAAAATCATTTCAAAGATTGTTATTATCATGAAAGCAATTTAAAGCAAGCTCATTAAAAAATACCCCTAAAAGTTCAGAGGTGTGATCAGGGCAGTGATGAAGAATATACCCTGACGACCGTGACATGAGCGCGGGGAAAATCCGTTTATTATTCTGAGTGACAATATTTGTTAACGTTAGTTAAGTTTAGACTTCAAGGTGCTTGAACTTAGATTTGAAGTTGATATTTTATCAAATTTTCGGTTTAATATTGTGACCAATATTTTTCTATGACATTTCACATGCACATATAATAAAAACTTAACTGGAAATTATTGAAACTACGAATTTTGGAACGTGTTTAATTGATACATCTTTGCACCTTCACAAAGTAAACTTTATCCTATCAAAACCGAAAAGTAGAAATTCGGTTGTGTATTAATGAAAAATATTCAAGTACAATCTAGAAAATAAAAGGACAAAATGTGAAAAAGCAAAATCACCTCACCCGTATTTTAAACAATCCGTGTTGTGAAGAGTTAAACAAATTTAACACACCCGTGAAACGTAAACTGTGTTTGTATACAGGACTGGACACTGTTACTATAAACGGTTACGTTTCCCCGGTTGTATTCAATATGTTATAATTTTCATACATCACTGAGCACGGACTGATAGTACTGAAGACAAGAAGATTGAATTTTACTTTCAGACATTTCTACTTTGAATTTTCTGGATTATACGTTGCATATATTTCATACATACACAACAAAAATATATTTTTATATGTATTAAGGATATAAATATTTGCTATTTTTGAAAGTGCAAACATGTATCAATAAAACACGTCCTGAAATTTGTTGTGTCTAGACAATTTAAATAATAATTCTAGCTTTTAAGCATTTTCATACATTGTTAGAAACATTTATTCCATACTTTCGACATTCTGTAATATTGTATCTTGTTGCATTCAACTGGGCTAGCGCGCTCCATGAAATATACCTACTTGACATGTCTGTGTGATTCACATGTTTGAAAGCATCTTAAATATACTCTGTAGTATGGAAAGGAGGAATGAGTAAACATACATTGAAAATTCATAAATACATATATATTGAAAACATATGGCTGGACCGGGAATCGAACCCGGGACCCCTGTATTTCTAGTCAGGTGCTCTAACCACTGAGCTATCCATTCGCTATGTTTTTCTACTCAGCCAGCCTGTAATTTCCTAACTCCCCCTTCCTTAAATAGTCTTCGACCCCGAAGACACAACTCAAGTTCACCTTGTCAGGACTTAACATTAGTAATTATACATTGCCTTAACAAGGTAGGCCACGGCACCATCTGTAGTATGGAAAGGAGGAATGAGTAAACATACATTGAAAATTCATAAATACATATATATTGAAAACATATGGCTGGGCCGGGAATTGAACCCAGGACCCTTGTATTTCTTGTCAGGTGGTCTAACCACTGAGCTATCCAGGCCGATGTCCTCAGCCCAGCCTAATTTCCTACAACTCAATATTTGAATTTCTCGCTGTCCTATATTGTTGAATTTTTACTAACGTTGCTGCAACCGCATTGTGACGTCACGTTAACACACGTTTCTCCGTGTACATTTCTACGAATGAGTATACACTCAAATGGTATTCAAATTAATTTGTTGGTTTGTAGAAAAACACAGCGAATGTAAATATCTAAAAATGAGGTCCTTTATCTTTTGTATGCAATAGTCCTATGGCTTTCAATGTACATGTGCATCATTTTCAAGCACATACATATTTATAGATTAAAACAACGCTGTTGGTAATCGGAAATATTCAAAAGAACTCAAATGAGCTAAAATTATTTGTCGTTGTCAAAATCGTCAAAACAATTGGATCTTTACGTCGTGATGTCCTTAGACAATTCAAGGAGTAAAAAGGTTAAATTCTATAAAATATTTTAAATCTTAAAAAAATGCACAACGGATCCGTGAAGATCAACTATCATGTTGGTTTGCACAAAGCGTAGGAAAATTTCCCTATCTTTATACGTAGTTCAAGTACATACAATCTCCCGGTAAAAATAGATGCTGTGTATCATAGATATGATTTTTTTTCTGCAATAGCTGCAATGTTAATTCCCGTACTTACAACCAAAGAAAGGCATTTTATTGTTTATATTTATATTAGTATAAATAATCATTTAAAGTAGGATTAAAAAGATTAATTCTTGTGTTATTGATATGTATTGGACGAAAATATTTCAGTATTCATGCATTTATACTCAGAGTGAATAAAAAGGAGAACATTCAAATTCCTAATTTTCAAGTGTATAATACGACATCCCGGTGTTTTGTGCACGTGATTGAATATTCCTATAAATACAGGTGTATGAAGCACATTATCAACCTGACTCACGTTAGAAGAGTAAAAACCTCTCAGGTAATTCGTCGGCAGGTTTGCAACAGATTCTTTTGTAATATATTTGTTATGTTATATGTCTACTCGAACGATGTTGTAATCATTTCATTTTAATAATGTTTACTTTTCATGACAAAATGGAAGATTTTTTTTTATTTTCGTTCAGTCGCGATTACTCTTCTAAAAACAGTCATTGTTGAAATTTCATACATGTGCTTAGGATTCTGAGCTTTGTTTCTAAAATTCTAAATGATCTTTTTATTTTTTAATGTTGCATTTTTAATTTCTGTGTTACATGAATTTCCAATCACCCAAACTTTTAAAAATGTCTCTTTCTGTACCTCTTCCGGTAAATTTTTTATTTCAGACAATTTATTGCCATTTGCTTTTTTAAAGAATTTTCACTCCATCTTCACCATTTATTTTTATGCAATTATTTCTGTTAATTTTTTTTCTAATTGCATCAAAATTTATATTTTTCCAAATCTCCTTTAGCTAACTTCAAACAAAATTTAAAAAAAACATTAAAAATATTTTATATAAAACATTTAAATTTTTTGATTAAAAATCTTTTTTTATGATGCTCACTGAAATTTACATTCAATTGCAGTATGCAGATGATTTGTTATTCCACAACTTTCTTGATTTGTTGGGTACTGCTTGTGCACTCAACGAACGGCGTTGCTCGTAAGTTCTATTATACATAACCTCATGTTTTTCATAACTGTCGATATTATTTGTAACTGAATACATTTTTACTACCATGTTAAATCTTTAACCTTTTAGGTTGCATTTGGTATTTAGATTAAACTTATAAAAACATTGTTACCATATATATATACTAAAAAGCATTTTTAGTAATTAGAGGTCAAGTAATACTTGAAGATATGTACTAGTATGTAAAGGATTTTTCTGTAGATACATGTACATGCTTTGCTTTCATATAGAAAATGACCCTTGCAAGTCCCATGGTACACACGGAAACCAATGTTCCTTGGCTGGGAAATGGAGAAATGAGTATAAATCACAAATGACTATCTTCTGTCAAAATGCAACTATCACCGGTCAATACACTGATATCGCCGGAGATCCTACCCAGACCTACCTTCTGGTGGGAAAATATATCCCAGTGAACAACACAGAATACATCACTGGATGGTCGGTGGCCTTCAAAAACGAATTCCATGATGACATGTCTGTCAAGAGCTGGAGCGGGGTATTTTACGCTGCACATGGAAATATAAAGACCCATTGGGTCCACGCCAAATACGTACAGCCAAAAGACTATTGGAGAACCTTTTCCACAAATCAAGATACCTTTAGCAGAATAAGTAGCGATCCCTGCTTGCCAAATTCTGCTGGCTGAATGTCATCCTGATCTATTATAAAAATGACATTGCTTAAAGCTTGTGTGCCTATAATTAAAATGATCCAAAAAATAAACGAAATGTTTTATAAAAGTGTTTGTTTTAAGCAATAAAAATTATAAAAACAATATACATGTATAGATGTTTTTGTATTTATACCATTTGTTCGCATGAACTGAATTTATACTTCTAAATTTAGATTATATTAATGTACTTGCATAAAAAGAGATTAAAGGAGTTGTGTTCATGAGTATTTACATTTTAAAATCTCTTTGTCCGAGATAAACTGAAAATAGAGTAATGCAGTGCAGCTTTTAATTCTCAAATTGCCAGCCACCTGAAAAAGACTTCATGCTTTCTCACTGTATGAACCTTAATTTGTAATTTGGGCGGGCGAACAGAGATTTCTTTTTCTTGAACAAGAATATCATTACCAGAAACCTATCTAAACTAACTTGCCATGAATGTGCTTAGCTCAATAAAATTTTCTTCTCATCTGTAACTTAAATAAACGGTGCAACAGGTTTCCTTACGGTCAGTGATGAATTTTTATTACCTTGTGATCTCTAAACTGGTTTCTAATTGTCTTTAAAAATTAACAACGCTAAAATGTTTGATTTTGGCAAATTAAGGTATTTCCAAAAAGGTTATAGAGGCAACATCATCCTCTCGTATCTTGCACAAATGCCTGGGATGGTACCTAATTTCTAATTTTTTGTGTTAACTTGAAAAAGGAGCGTTACTTCAATCATAAAATCTTTTTTAAAAAAATGTAATTTGTGAACGTATCGTCTGTCCTTAACGGGTGTAAATTTTGACGTTTTGCATGTTAAAAGGTATATGACAATAATTTTTGGCGGAACTGTTGGTTCTGCTTACATGCTTATTTGGTTGTTTTGGGTACCCAAGCTACCTGATATATCCTTAAATGAACATTCTAAAAGCTTAAATACCGATCTTCACAAGAATTAAAAAGGGTATAATGTTCAATAACAGACTGATGAAAATACTCAGTAACTGTTCTTGTTTTTTTTGTAAATAAGGGTGCAAATTTGTTGATAATAATTTTAGCTGGCTGCAACACCAAATCGACTAATTAAGTCAAATTTAGCCCTCGCAAAGAATTCCGTAAAATTAATCACTTTTCAAAATTCAAGTAATAAAAAATTTGTTCCATAAGACAATGAGAACTTAAAAAACCTTCCAAGGAAGAGTTACAAGTTGTATTATTAAGCATGTTTTATCCAAAACATGCAAATGCCATTCAATGATATCTAAACTCAAAATAAATTAGAATTCTTCCCTTAAATACAGATAGCATTCTAAAAATTTAAATTCATATACATGTATAATACTAATGTCTTTTTTTTTTTTTATCAAAGAATAAGAATAGATGTATTGCAAAGCTAAATACCGAGTACGATATTTTTTAAAAACAAAATGTCAAATACCAGAGTATCTTATGGACATTTTCCATCAACAATTTCTTTTCTGAAAAATCGAAAGAACTTTTTAAATTGGTCAAAACTTGTTCAGTTTCATGCTATATTCAAATAACTAGCTTCCATCCTGATCAGATAAAAGATGAGTTCAAAGATATCGTTCATATAAGTGAATACATATTTCGAAACAGATTTGTAAAATGAAATAAAAAAAATTAAAGGTAAAAATGCTAGAATTATCATATTGACTTAACTTTCCTGTAAAAATCAAAAGTATATAATCAGTATGTTTATGCAAGATCAAGTGAATGCATTACAAGTTTTATATTTTTATTACATGAGAGAGTTACAGTTATACTGTCCCTATGTCTGTCAGTCTGTCCCGCTCACTTTTTCTTAACGCTTGCAGATATTGAGCAAATTTTTGGTATGTGAGTATATCTTTATGAGTTACAGATTAATTTTGGTTTTCGTTCCGCGTCATTTTGACGGAACTGTGGTATTTTTATCTTTTAAAATTCAGATAACGATCGGGTTCGTAACTAATGTACCTCCTGTAAATTAATATTTCAATGAGCTTATATCCTAAAGAAAATAGGGGATCCTAGTAGGGGACATATATTGCTGATGCAATACTCTCAGAGTGTTTGTTGTATATTGTTTTTAAGACAAGGTGGTTGTGACCGGTCAGCAGTGGATGCTCTTCCATGGCGTCTGATCCAACCTCTGATGTTTTGGAGGTCCATGTTTGCTCTGCTCCAATGTTGTATCGTCTTTTGAGCTTGTTCGTTATTTCCATATAATTCTTCATTTTAACTGAAGTAGTTTTGGTCTTTTACAGAACGTCCTTTTTTTTTTTCAATCAACAATTTAGCAATTTAGAATTCTATTCTAATTGCTTGTAGTGTTTTCACTTTTGACCGTTACAACAAAGAAAACATCGCAGATTCGAAATGCCTACGGGGAATGCTTACTCCTCCATGGCGTCTGATCCTGTTTTTGACATTTAAGATTTCAGATAAGAATTTTCTCTAATGAAATTTTTGTCTTCATTATTGTTCGTTATCTTGTAATTTGATGAGTTCTCGATTACAAAAATAGTAAATGCGACATTTCTTGTGTCAGTGGTTATCACAAGAATACACGTCACAATGTCACACCTACTTTTCAATAATAGTAATTAGGAACTGAAGCATAATATCGAAACACCGTATACCGATTTCAAGTTGTTTAATAGTTGTGTGATTTTGTAAATTATTAATTGTTCGTTTGCGTCCGGATTATAAAATAGTCGTCAAAATATGTTTTTAAGCATCATCAATAACATTTTCAAATCTTTCATCTAGGTTTTTTATTGTTCTTCTTCAAGGTATCACAGCATTAGTATTCGTTATAAATTGATATAATTTTATTTTCCATGATTCTTTGATATTTTATGTATTTTCAAATACAATCTTTAAACAATCATGTATAAACCGTCATAAAACTTCGGGAAGATTATTTATCCTTGTCCATTACTGGTGATAACTATATCCTTATTTGTATCTCAATTTTATAAAAAGTGCTATATTTTTATTAATGTAACTGTTCTTTTTTAAGACACCTCAATTTAGTTGTTAAGAAATTTAGCATTGTCTTGGACTCAATTCTAAATAATGCCCATTTAGTCATCTATCTATTTATCTTCCCTACCATCCTTTTTTCCTAACGTTGCTCTGTCAGCACATTGCAAGTTAAATCTGGTGATTCAGCAAACTCTCGAAATAACAGTCATTAACCCACATTAGTCTTAAAGAAATTTCCAACATTTCCTTCTCTGCAACATCCATAAGCTTCACAATTAAACTATGCAAAAATATAATTTATATGAAGCAATCACTCTGGAAACTATTTCTCCCACAAAGTAAATAAATTCCAAGACATCTTCGTATAGAAACAAATATGATGAAAGAAAAGGAAGAAATAATCACTTTATTTTCAGGGTTTTTTCTACTGCACTTTAGTTTACATTTTCATCAATCAACTCTTTCTTCAAACTGCATATTTTTTTTAAAAGCTAATCGTAGATACCAAGCCCAAAAAGATAATATTTGTCAAGTTTAATTAAGATTCAATAAATGGACTTTAGATAAACTCTTATCAGTCAAAACTATGTCACGATACAAAATAGAAATTACTTCCTGAATGCTGCATGATGCAAATAAAATGCAACACAAATAAAGAAAAAAAATAAAGAAAAATAGACAAAACACCTCTTTAGCAAGAAAATGATATTAGCATAAAAGAAGTTGATAAAATAAAACATTTTAATTTTTTGATAACTAAGGGATTAGATAGAGAGAAAGACTTTACATACAGCTTAAAAGGAAACAGGGTTTTACAAATGCCAATTTACACTGTATTTGCCAGTTTGAAAGGGTTCTTTTATAGTCACTATTGTGAAAAAATTAGTCCATGCTTAATAATGATTAGCCCCAAAGGTGAATATGTCGTTCAGGAATAAAAATGGTAGAAAAATAAATTTAACTAAATAACAAAACTATACTTTTTTTTGCATTTTCAAAGATGAATTGATTATTTGCTTTTTTTCAAATATTTTTTTAAAAGTTTTTTTTTTTTTTTAATTTGTTGAATGTAACTAATAAATGGATCGTGTCTTCGCTGGTTTGTTTCACGTCGATCGTCGATATTAAAGTATTCGAATTTGATTACGGAATGTTACATCTTCCTGTTTAATACAGAGGGCGTGCAGTGGGTTTGACCGATGGACAGAAAGTGTTCACTCCTCCTAGGCACCTGAGTGATACAACCTCTCGAAATTCAATGGAATATGTACAGTTGGCAGGACTAAAATGAATGGGATTTAGATGCTTACAGTTTACCCCTAATTCGCATTAGCAAGATTTAAATGGCAAACGTTTGAGTGAGGTAACGAAAGAGAATTAAGAATCAATACCATTTCAATACATAATATTGAAAATCGTTTGAAAATTGATCCCAATGTATTTCTCAAATGTTTTCCTGCTAAAGAACAAGTGGAACTAGAATTTTCATTAAAAAAAAAAACAAACTAAAATTAGGATTTGAGAATAAGCTTTTACTTCCAAAAAATCTGCCATAATATTTTTTCCATTTTTAATTCCTGCTGTTATATGTTCAAGAGCAGGCTCACTGAGGATCACCACAGAAACCAGAAAATAGAATTAAAGCTGAATCTTATCTTCTAAACAGCGAAATATCACCGTTATCGGCGTTAAACAAAATTAGTAAACCAATCATATTTTCAACTGAAACTCTCATAAAGAAAAGACGACATACCACATTTTCAACTAAATTTTGATGTACAACTATATGAAAATCAAATAAAACATCTTGTTCAATGAGCCTAATGCTTCAATACTACAAATATCGGGGAAAAAAACAGGCCAGGGGATCAAATCTCTCATCTGAACACTACAACTTGAAGTATCCCAATCTTGGGAAAATATTAGCAAGTTTTGGAGAAGCCTAGATCATCCTTATCTTTGCCTCATACATAGGGGTAGTATTTTAAAAAAAAAAACAAAAAAACCTTGAGCCCCATCCTTAAGAGTGCAAGGGAGGGGGAAAACGAAAATGAGAATTTTATTCAATTTCACTCAAAAATGTGACCCTAACCTCGCATCCCCCTAGAATTATCAGTGTATTTTAATTTCTGCGTAAAAGTGACCAAAACAGATTCTTATTAGAGAAACACCGACATCTTACGAACGAACGTAACCAAAAACGGGGATCAGTCATTGTAGTCTATTGTAATCACGGTTGGATTACTGAATTCTTCAATCTTATTGGGATTTCGATAGAAAAAATCCCCTCAAGATACCTCAAATCCATGTCTTGTCGTAATTAATTTATCATGTGTACTAGGAACACGTGCTTTTGTTTATTATGTGCGCTAATAATAGCGACAGTAGCTATTGGTCAGTATTTAAAGGTCGATACCTGTAGAACGGGTGAACAGGTATTCAGTTTAATCACGATTTTAACTCATTCGAAGGCTTTGCTTTGCGACATTCACACCCACCCACCCACCCTCTTACTTACTTCAACCTTTTACTAGTATTTTGTTTAATAAAGAAAGTAATTGTTTTCATTACAAGAAAATTAAAAGTTTTGTACACAACAGATTAATTGTCAAAGATGGGAAACAATTTGCTTAGTCGCTCTCGATAATTTAATGTAAAATTTGATATAAATGTAAGATTGTTGTGTAAGGGTACATATTAGCTACATATAGTCGAAATGTGTTTACAGATAGTTCTAACTTACATTCATTTTGCATAGGTTTTACTTAAACTAGTCGATTAATTGTACATTATTATATATGATACGTTCGTAAGTTTGTGAGAATGAGTTCGCCATTCATTTTGTTTACCTCGCAATTGCTGCGGACTTACAGGTTTCCATAGTTTTTTCAACATAAATCGATGTTGTTTTTTATCTATGGTTTTTCCTGGGCGGCGAGGGAAGCATAATTGTGTTCATACATACATTATATTACGTTTTTAATCAGTGAAGTGAGGACATATAAAAGCATTGTGTTAAAATGCATTTTGTACTGTTATGTGTGATTAATAATAATTTTGATATATTGTAGAAGGAAGGTAGAGAATCGGTACCATTAAAGACTTGTTTTTGTAAATGTATACGTCTAATAAATATTGGCAAGCAAGCGCTTCCATTTCCTATATAGACAAGTGTTCTTGTTTTGATTGTAAATAATTTATGTTCGTTTGAGTGAAACGAATTAGAACATAAGTCGCCATCGTGACTCTACAATACATTTCAATGGACATTTCTAAACGAGCAAAGAGGTTCGAGAAGGGAAATGAAAGAAAAATTTTAAAAATGTCATTCTGTGGCATGATATAAGAAATAATAGTATGTTCGGCTCTAGTTTGGGTCGAAAGGGGGGGGGTACTTTACAAAGGGCGGTAGGGACAAAAAGGAGTCTAAAGTGGTCTAAAATTAAATTGCAAGAACCCAAAAACTTAAAAGAAATACTTGTTCAAAATACTATATGCTGCGAAAATAAGATTAATATGACTTTAATACACAGGTATTATAGCCATGTCATAAATCCAGGATGCCCGTTCGTAATTTGTCGGTTGATAAAGCTTCTTCTTACAAACATGTATCTTAAAAATCTTCATATAATTCTCACGGGTGCTAGTGGACTGGAACCCCCCCTCCCCCCCCCCCCCCCTTAACGTCACAGACCCAAAGCTTCTCGAGATATTGCTCGAAACAAAAGTGTAACAGACTAACTAAACAGAATTATAAGACGAACGAGCAGACCGAAATTAATATCCCCAACTTTCGGGGGGGGGGGGGGGGGGGGGGGGGGGGGGGGGGGCACAAAAATGGAAGTTTAGTGAATTGTGTTTTTGACATAATTTAAGATATATATAAGAGCAAGCTAGTTCAATATTAGCATGCCATCATAGGACCTATGCCCACCCCACCCCCTCACCCAACCCCTGGAATATATATAAATCCGGGTCCAAAGACATTTTTTGGCTTTCTTTCATTTATAGCATTTACAATTTACAACATACGAAATTGATACCTGCAGTTAAAAAGTCAGAGGTGATTTAAGATACTACGGGTATGATTTTTTTTTAGATAAAAAGTGAATTCTATGTACTTTTTGGATTTTTCATATGAAATACATTATACAATTTAAATATGTATTAGACGATTAATTTATGAAAGAAGACAAATATGAATATCTTGCGACCCGGTATGTATATTGGGCATTGGGTGGGGAAGTTGTTTGGTCTACAAGTACTTGTGATAAACATGTGTGCACATATTTTTGAAGGATGCCATGACAACTAAGTGGCAACTACGTTTTCATATTATTCACACTTTTAAAAAATTCTTTTTGACGGTATTCTGGAATCATTTTTTTCTGTTACAACAGGACGGTAAATATATGTTTTTCCTTACAAATGAAGCAAGTTATAATTTCGGTTATAGTTTTTAAGTGTAAATATGGACCTTCGGTCAAAATAACTCTGTCTGTGTGGTTAAAAGTGTAAAGTGTATCTTCTAATTTTATATTTTGACGATTAATGTAATATTATAGAAAATTTAGCTACTGTATACCTGTGCCCCCTCAATAAAAAAAACTTTCATTTTGGCTTCCCAAGGAATTGTTTGGTAGTGAGTCTAAACTAAAAAAAGTTTGGTTGTGCCCTACCCCCCCCCCCCCTCCCCAACTGGTATTGCTTGCTTCATGCCTGTTACATATTTCAAATAAAAGCAGCTCAAGATGATTTAGTGATTATCGCCATTTAATAAATCATCTAAGAAGATACTGTCTACCATGAATGCTCGTTTATTTCTTTGAAGCGATATTTCAGGGACGTAGCATCCGGGGGGGGGCCAGGGGGGGCCTGGCCCCCCCACTTTTTTCCCCAACATAACCTTTACTATAGTAAATGTTCATTGATGGGATGGTTGTGATATTTGGCTTTGAAAAAGTTGGCCACTACCCCCCCCCCCCCCCCCCCACGAAATAGAATTTTCGAGTTTGGGCAAGTTGTTTTTTATTTTTATTTTTATTTTTTTTTTTTGCTTGTCAACTTTTTTAGGTAAGTAAAAAAAAAAATTTTCTCAGGTTGGCCCCCCCACTTTCAAAAACGATGCTACGTGCCTGTATTTTAATAAATTTAAAAAAGAATCTCTCTCTCTTTAGATCTCAATACAAGACACTTTATAAAGCGCACTAATTATTTACTTGATTGCACGGATTTATTTTTCTTCAACCTGTGAAAAGTAGCCTTTCCCCATATGAACAAGGCGCACACTACGAGTAGTTTGTATACGTTTAATCACTGACGCATGACAATCGTGTTTCCTAATCCGTCTAAGGTATTATGGTGTATTTTCTTCTATTTGTCTTTTTTAAAACATAGTAAGTGATTACAATTTATTTGACTTGAGCAATTTTCAATTACAAAGTGGTTAAAACACTATCCGTCCTATTTTACACATATATACTTATTTCTTCCGATTTTAAACTTTATATGGGTACAATCACTGGTCCCGAGAAAACTATCAAGATACGGGAAGTTAGGGCGAGTTACGTTCGTTCGTAAGATGTTGGTGTTTCTCTATTAAGGGGGCCGACTATAGTTTTATTGTGTGAATACTACAATAGCGAAACTCTTCATTTTTTATACCATATATAACTTACATTAACTTCAGTGTACATGCAAAGTTTGGGGGAAATCTACCGTCCAGGTATTTTTGAGGGACCGTCTCAAAATACAGGTACATTTACTATAGGATTATATAGGAAAATGCCAATTTTTAGCACTTTAAAGCATATTATACAAATACTACAATAGACATTTTGTTCAAACTGTAATATTTGATGAGTAATACTATATTATACAATATATGTAAGAAACACAAAATTCTACCGTCTTGCTACCAGAGGGGGCCTCTCAAAATGCAAAAAATTAGCAAATTTTACTATTTTTATAGAGTATTACAAAATATGACGTACACAATGGATTCACATGAGAACATAATAAAAATATTGGATATATACTCAAATTTCTACGTTTTAATTTTCAAGAGCGTAGGTTTATTACATTTCTTTAGTAATATTTTTATTACCCCTTTCTTTAAGAGCTACAGATTATCAAACGTCAAAAAACACACTGCAACGACGTCACCCTACCTATCAGTTGCAAAATCGGTTAAAAAATCAGTTATATCAAATTGTAATTACATTTTTATACCTAAAATGTCTTAATTTTGTTTAACTTTAATAATTAGGCGGAAAAAGTTGCATTAAAACGGTAAATACGCTTCATTTTACTATGATGCTCGAAATATTGCGCAATGGAAACTATAGTCGGCTCCCTTAAGGCAGAAAGAAAAGTCATTGAAATTTATATTTCAAAATCAGAAAGTGTGTTTGCCGACACAATAATACATTTTCCAGACAAGCCTTTTGACATCTGGGGATCAATATTTGTTAAAAAAAGGAGTGGCATGTGGGAATAATTCCGCTCCTCTTGCAAAAATTCAAGATTCATCTCTGTATGATTTCATCAAACTTCGTAAAACTGTAATAAACAGTGGTACAATGTATATCACAAGTAGAGTTTTCAGTTTTCATACTATAAAAATTATAATTAAGATAAAATTGTTAAATGTTCTTTTAAAGTATAAAAGATCATTGTAATTTCTCTTTTATCCATTCCTGATTTTGTAAGAGAACCACATTGTGCACCGTCTTAAAAACAATTGAATTTAATCACAGTCATGTATTTTGAAATGTTAATATTTTTTTATTTTGAATTACATTGTTATATTCAAAGAAATTTCTGTTCTATTCAGCTCCCCGTTCCGTTAGATGTAGCAAAAAATAATGATTATACAAATGAATTTTATTTCAAGATTACTTTTTTTAAAAGACCTCCAATTCGGTGAAATCGTACCTTGTTCTTCGTTCTTCGTTCACGTGATCGTTGTACATAAAACACGGGTAAATAAATTGAAGATCAGTGCGTTTAGCAACATTCAAACAAGGAAGAAACCTTATAATTAAGGTAAATTCGACACAAACTTTTTGTTTTAAATCTAAGGGATATCATCTTGAAAATATTTTTCTTCTTCTAGATAAAGTGAGATTTTACTTATTATTAGCTCATAGCTCATCGCGTGACTGAATTTTTTCAATCCTTTTGAAATGATGTACGATTGTACATTGACTATGTAGTAACTGTTGTCGCCATGATTTACTTTCATTTAAGTATTCTTAGTTATTCAAAATGAATTTTCTGAGCTTTTGAAGGTTAGTTGATATATTGGAAATGTAAACAAAAAACGAGCACTTACCGAAATATGTCATGTTTGCAATTTAATCCTTTAATAAAATCTTCAATGATCTGATCGTGAACAAAATACTAGTAGTCTTCAAATGAAAAAACATTTTCATTTCTACAAATATTTCATCATAAAATATTATATATTTATGCTTGCATAGATTTTTATTTATTGTGAAATCACAAAACCGTTAGGTTTAATTTTCGGTGTTTTCGAGCTACCTATGGGAAGACCAATGCATACGTTTCCACCACAAAATGTTAAATGTCACATACATAACTTTTCTATCAACATTTCTTCATCCACGAAATGAAAGCTCAACGAACCAAGAGTTTTTCCTCAAATCACGAAAATTTGACGAATGAAAATTTGTGATTTTACAGTATTTCTTTTATCACCATTAAATTCCTATGATTTTCATTACAGAATGAGGATGCATTTAGGAATTTGCATTCTGGTTCTGGTCTTAGGTGCGGTCCCCGTTGAACCCTTGCCTAGGAGTGCTAGTAAGTTTGGAATTATACACACATTCTTTAACTGACTAGACAATGAAATGGTAAAACCTTAATTTAGTAATCAATGATCTTTAATCAGATAGCATGTTACATTTCAATTTTGAAGTTAATCAATCTGTGCAATATTGTTTATGCCAATCTAAGTTCTGAAAATTAAGAATTTCTTATAGGAGCTACGTCTTGCAATTCCCATAACACACAGAATCAATGCGCAATAGCTGGTATTTGGAGAAATCAACTTCTTTCGGAGATGACACTTACATGCCAGAATGGAACCCTCTCGGGCCACTATTACAGCGCCGTTGGAAATGCTGAAAAAGAATACGATCTTATAGGACGATACGTGCAGGTGAATAGCACAGAATACATCGTAGGATGGTCTGTTGCTTACAAAAACCAATACCGAAATGCTAGATCCGTTGCAAGTTGGACTGGGGTATACTATGCAACTCACGGTAATATCAAGACACATTGGATTCTGGCCAGTTACGTGGATCCAGATAATTATCAGAAAACATTTAACACAAATCAGGACCAGTTTCATAAAATTGGAGATCTGCCATGTACGCAAGGTGTAGTTGGTTGAGAGTTGTCAAAAGCAGAAAAATTGCATATTGTTCAGAATAGATTAAAGAAATTTTTATTTAATTGTCTCAAAGTTTTCAATGTATTCTACAAATAAAGTTGTAAGAGTTTAATTGTACATGTATTTGTTAGCCAAATGTATACGCTAACGCATTTACTTATTCATCTTGGTATTATATAATTATGGTTTTTTCAAGGATTTTTTTTGTACAATTTTACTTTTAAACAGTTGTATAAGTTATGTGAAATATGAGATACCGAATACTTTAGTCTATTTTAAACAATAGAAATCAGGAGAAGAGCAAACACGGTAATTAAAAACATTAGAGGTGGGATAAGGTGTCATGGAGGAGGAGAGTCACATTCACCGTGCACTCTTATGATCGAGTAAAGCGGAAAAAATCTTTAGATGATTTAGTATACTAGTATGAAAAATGGCTTAAGGTATGTCACTCGTCAGCTTTTTAGAAAAGTTCACGCAGAACCCTTTACTTCAAAACTATTAGTTAAATTGCAATTTTAATAACATAATATTATTCTAATTCACCAATGTTAATGTTTTAACATTCAACGAAAAAACTACTCAAAAAGTTACAAAGAAGCAATATTTATGAAGGACTATTTCTTGCTGTGGTGGAAGGATATTTAGCAGAAAATTCTGCAAATCTGCACATTCATTAAATTGAATATCCTGGAACTTAACCCTCACGTACTTTTACTCGGAACTTAACCCTCACGTACTTTTACTCGGAGAAAATTTTTCGTTATGATATTGCTAGGAATGGTTACTATAGGTCTTAATTTATATTTGTAGAACAAGTTTTACACCTTCCTTCAACAAACTTTGCCAAAAAATGAAGATATGTCAAATAAATCAAGATAAAATTTAAATCATTTTTCGCCTGAAAATCACATATTTTGACCAATATTTCAAAGTTAACACCACTGACCCAAACTTTTTCTTTCGTTATTTTAAAGTACTCGATACTTGTGACTGATCAGCTCTAAAGTCGTAAAAAGCTTGATTTAAGAAAATGCTATAATGCCTATTTAGTTTTTTAATACCCCAAATCTGTTACTTTTTTGGTGCAAAAAGGTCACACAATAATTTATTTACGCGCATAAATTTGCAAGTTTTGTTCAATGATAAATATTATTCATACTATTTTATGTAAAATAAAATTGTATTTATTGCCATAATTACATCTGATAAAATATTATAAAGGTTAAAGTAATTTACCAATGAGTCTAAATTTAAGTGCAAAAAGGTCAACTTAATTGTACCGTAGATCAGTGAGATGCACACTGACCCCCTATTTTTTCCTGCGATTTTGAGTCGCACTATATGAGTGCTTATCTGAATTATACTTCTCAAAAAATCCTTGATTTTACAACGTTCACGAGTGACATACTGATAGGCTGTATTTTATGTGATAGGATGTATTTTATGACATTTCTATTATGTAGACCTTAAAATAATGACTTTTAATGAAACTGTTGATATTCTTCATTCAACTGTCTGTTTTTCAATGGCTGCCTATTTTAATAAATTGACTGTTCTTGTATATCGAATGTAAAAAAAATCATAATACATTATACATGTTCTATTAAACAGTGTGAATCAAAAACATGGTAAAATCGCTTTTTATGACTAAACATATTATATAGATTAAAACAAGCAGTTAATAAACATCTTTCCTCAGATTAAAGAAAACTATCAAGTTTAATTGTGAATACGTCTATTGATATGCTTCTCCATAATCAAATGATTCGATACGCAAGAGAATGCTTTTCGAACTATTTTTTTTTAAATGAGGCAAGCTATTGACATACAAGTTGAGTTATCAACAGTTTTGTTTGCATTCATCGATTTATATCTTGTGGTTAATAAAGCAAATACAAACATTCATTTAATCAAACACTGATTTTTAATTAATATAGAGCTCATGTTATAACCCCCACCAAGGAGACTATGGAGACGCCACCACTTGCCGGTGCAGAGCTACAAATTCTGTCCTATACCAAGTCTCAGCCGAAGGACCGGTCATATACAGTCTCATCATAACGACCGGTCTTCACGCCCCACAGTGGGATTCGAGCCCACGACGTAAGGATCAGCTCCTTATTTCGCGATTGTAGAGCAAACGCTCTTTCCACTGCGCCACACGGGCGACTACATTGAATAAAAGATAAATGGAAACTGGAAGGATATACAGTAAAATGGCTAGATTGTCCGTCCGTCTGCCTTTACGTCCGTCCATCGGTTACAGTTTGGAGAACCCATCCTTTTTTAACATTTAATCTCATACTACTGAGTTAAATTTACTGAGACTTTCATGATGAGGTTATCCTTGTTGCATAGTGCCATTGAGATGTCCTATTTTACTTTTTGATCGGACACTTTTTTTTTTGGTTTCCAAAAGCAAAACGTTGGCATTGCCATTCTCTCTATAACAATGAAGGGTACCGGGCATCTCTTATCCGCAGCTCTTTCTATACAACTTAACTGAGGTTGTTATCAGATCATCTTTATTTTGAAGTTATTTAAAGGTTTGTTGAGATTGTATTGAAGACAAAGTGTATTTAAAAGAGTTTTTGCCCAATTTAGCTTTAAGCATGTACTAGTATGTCATTTTCTGCTCTCAATTTTAATTTAAATGTGAAAATACATTCACATATTTTCATGCTTTATTTGAAATTGTTTAAAAGCACATTATTTTAGCCGGGCTTATTGCTCAAAGAGCAATTGCCGGCTTATGTCATCCTGTTCAAGGCAGGAAGTCAACCCCATGTCGCCATTTTAAAGTTACGTGCAAAAATATAGTTCTTACTCGTAACCGCTTTTGAGATAATACAAATGCTAAATAAAGCAACAAAAATAAAACGAAGTTTTATCTCTATAAATAAACATTAGTAGTAATGACTTTGAAAACTTCAGTCCTAAGTCAAAGAACATAGTTCATTATAGCGTAAGGATTTTTGATAATCAGGTTTATCGTAGTTCTTTACACATACGATGTAAAGCAGGAGAGGGAACCAGACTGGCCTGTTTGTTTACATTCAGCTGCGGTACCAGATTAATTCTAACTGACAAAATCGGACTGTGGTATTAGGATTGAAAAACTCGCTGTCAGTGTCTTATCCTTTAAATTAATAGTTTTAAAATGATGTTTTCATCAGAATATAAACGTGATTCAAGTAAGAAACTCATTCTACTCTGCAAAAGAGCCCGGCTCTCTGTACTTCTGACTACTTTGATTTTCAATAGGCACATGTATGTGTGCATAAAAAAAGTTAAAACTAATAAATGCAGTCGTTTTAACATTTACCATTAAATTGATATTTTTCTGTACTAATTTTTTCCATACCATGTATTAAGAGTTTAATTTTCGTTGGTGGAGTAACCTTTTAGTTTTGCTCAATTTTTCTAAATTTTTATCCTCCACAATTTTATGACAAAACAGTTTGTCTTATGCAAAGTAAATATGCTTACTTTACAACTTTTTTTTTTACAAAACAATATCATGAACTTTTTCTTTATCATTTTCTTTGTTTAAACCCCATACTTTGGATGTATATAAATTAGTATTAGATTCACATATCTGTCCAAGAGAGAGCACTCTGGTATGAATATCAAACCAATAATGATTTGATAATGACTAATAATAACTCCCCTTGTAGTACAAGTATCGTTGTGCTTCTTCTTTTTTCCCTCATTTCTATCAACCGTTATTATTTAAGTTTTTTTTATTGAACATGTATATAAATATTGAATCCGTTTTTGCTGAACATGTGCAAAGAATTTTAAAGCATTTACTTTGTTGCAAGGCTTATGCAGTTATGACAAAAATAAATGTTACATGTATCAGCATTCATAGTAAGAAAACTATTACCAAATTATTTTCATAAGGTTGATTGATGCAATCAAAAAGTCAAATTTACAGTCCCAAAACCCTGTCTAAAGCCAAATTGAACATCTGTATATGCCACTTCAGTACTAGTATTCTTTACTTAATATTTTCCGATCATGACAAGGAGCACTGACACGGCGGGTGTGACCGGTCGGCAGGGGATGCTCACTCCTCCATGGCACCTGATCCCACCTCTGATGTTTTAGAGGTCCGTGTTTGCTCTGCTCCTATTTTTTTTTATTGTTTAATGGACTTATTAGCTTGAATACTGTTCGTTATCTCTATATTTCGTATTTCATTAGAATAGAAGGGTATATACCGGTAAAGCTATGATTGACATTTGCAACTAACATAGATAATACTCCTGTAATTATTTAAGAAATAAAGTCCGCGTTTTCGTGAATTTTGCGGAATAACTTCCGAGGTGTTGTTTGAAAGATAAAAGCCGAGGCGTTAGGCTTTTATATTTCAAACAACATTTCGAGACCGAGGAGGTTATTCTGCAACATTCACGACAATAATGACTTTATTTCTATTCTACTACAAGTGCTAGCATCTCTAAAATACGACTGATCGTTTCTCTATAGAGAAACGAATTAGGTCACCATGCTGCGATAACGCTGTTCCATTTAGCACCAGAGTGTAAATGTGTTTGTTTACCTGTGAATAGAATGAAGACGATTTGTCGTTTACTGCATTAAAAGTAGCCTTTTATTAATTATAAATCTGTTTGTAGCTTAAATAGATTAATCTTTTTGAATATACAATAACAAAATCAGTTTCCTATTTTACCACTTTATCACTAAAATCACGAAGGGAAGTTCGTGAAACAGCCCCGCTTGGCTTTAGAAACCTACATTCATCAGCTACTTTCTGCAATATACAGTGTTTAAATTGCAAAAGATGACACATCAATGTGGTCTAAATAAGTATTTCATGCTTAAGTCAAATGTACATTTCAACTGCACAGGTTTGATACATGTTTCTGATGTGATAATTTTTTATGACGGTCGTGATTTATTGGAGAATAATGTTCGCGGCTTTTCTTTGACCTCGGCAATAATCGTAGTAGAATTGTGTATAACTTTCCCCCTTTTTATCCTCTTGTACAAGTATACACTTTGACCAAATGCAAGACTCGGAGAAAAACCAAGACCTAATTAATAGCAATAAATATTTTATCCAAAACCGATTTTAGGCCAAGGTACAATTTATAAATACCTGACCGTTTTTCATTTAGAATAAAACCTCTGCGCAACTCTTATAAATATATTTTAACCATGTATACACATGTAAAAAAATATTTTATTAAATACTGATAAGATACCCCAATTCTTCATAACAAATTGATTACTCTGCCCATTGATATACTGTACACTTAAACCCGCGGTCATTTTTCGTTGCATTATGACAAAATCGGGTCCCCGTACACCTGTGCACGAGATAAATGTTGTTACCCTCGTCCCTCAAGTATCAGGTAAAAGTGCTTTGGAACGATAGTACTTGTGAGTACCCTCTAATTAAATTTCGTATAATAAAAAAAATCATTCTCTAGAACATTAAATAACCTTTTTATTGATTTTTAGATACAAGTGTAAGTGTGACTTTAAAATGTACTATTATTTTGAATATGTGCAAGATTTGTTTAGTTTTAATTTCTTTTTCCTGTCTGTACTAGTTTTCTGACCTCGATCAAAAAACGACTGGCAACAACTTTTCTTATCAAATATTGTCAAGATAATCAGCATAACAATTCTGTAAATACTTTTACACCAGCACTTGTTAAATGTTACGGGAGCATATTGGTGATAAAAATTCATCGAAGTCAAAACACGGAGGTGTACCGCCGCCCTTGTATATCAACCTAGAATAAACAGAGAAAGAAACATATGTCAATCCCTGGAACACAGACACATGACGTACGTTACTTTTTTAAAGATAAAAATTATACCCATTATCTTATAATATTAGGTAGGGGGTTATTTTTTAATGAAAAGACTAATAAGTAACCCGTCGTGTGCTTTTGACCGTGGTTGTAACAGTCTAAAAACAATCAATAATAATCTCAGTTCTTCAACAAAATAAAGCAAACTGATTTTAAAAAATCTACTTTACTTCTACCAAAAGAGTCATTTAAGTTATACATGTATCAAGGTTAGGTTATAAAAATGTACATCAATGCAAACATAATCTTGTGATGTATATCTTGTGATGTCGTGTGAAACCGGGTAACTTTCATCTCGTCTAAAACTTACTACCAGTCTTGTACATTTATAGAGCTGTCTTAATATTTATAGGAAATTACAGTTTTACAATAAAGTAAACAAAATTTTAAGAAATTCGTTTCATATTTTATATGATTATCACTTTTTTATGATTTGCTCAGATTTAAAATCTAGGTCAATTATATTTAAAGTCATTTAATAAATTATTCATTTTATTTCATTTGGAAAGAAATTCTTTTAAGAGAAGCTACAAATGTCAATTGCATATGAAGTGCAGACATACTCAGGATTTTCTTTCCTTTCTTTCTTATTTCTTTAGGAAATTATGTGATTGTAACCAATGGATTCTAATAGCGAGGACTTAGTTCTGACCAAACCCATATATGAAAACGGAGAATACAAGAATCCCTGGAACCATCAGGAATTGCCGAGTATTGCAAGCAAAAGGACGCTTAAATTTCTTTGGAATCTGCTCATAACGTCTTCAAACCTTCCAAGTAAAAAGGTTAAGCAACATGATTAAATAAAATGCAATAAAATTTTTAGTTGCTATTTCAGGTACGTGGTTAATATAAGCCGAGGTCTCACCGTCCCGCAGCGGGATTGGAGCCCACGACGTAAGGATCATCTCCTTACTTCGTGAGTCTAGAGCATACGCTCTTACCGCTGCACTACACGGATCGGGCGACTCCCCTTTATGAAAAGTTCTATTATAGGAAGAAATACAAGGATATTAATAGTGCGGTTGATAAACAATTATTTCGTCAGTGTTGAACCAGTAACGCTTAATGAAAAAAAACGAAGCATGTAGAATTGATAGGTAGATAATGTTAAAGTGATTTATTTTTTTAAAATAATGTGTTTTATTTTGGAAAAACTAAGGAAAAAAAAATCAATAAACATACCTATAATATTGTAATTGTTCCTTCTCAGGTTTTGGATCAACATCTTCCGGTGGAGAGGCCAGATTTTGTTAAGTTGCGCAATCCCCCAGTTTCGGGGATCCAGACGACCTGGATTGGTCATGCAACAGTCCTAGTGCAGTTTGACGGTATTTCCGTTCTCACTGATCCTATGTTTAGCCAACGGTGTTCGCCATTTTCTTGGATTGGAGGAAACAAACGATACCGCCCTTCTCCATGTAAAATAGAGGAGCTCCCCAAAGTTGACGTCGTTTTGGTTAGTCATTCACATTATGACCACTTGGACTACAGCTCTGTGCAAAAGCTGAATAACAAGTTTGGTGATTCTTTACACTGGTTTGTGCCAGTTGGTTTGAGATCCTGGATGGAGAGTGCCGGATGTCTGAAAGTTACTGAGCTGTCATGGTGGGAGGAAGCCAAATTTAGGAACAAAGAAGAATTCTTAATTGCTTGCACACCAACACAACACTTTTCAGGACGAACCTTATTTGACAACAATAAGGTAAAAATATTTCTTTTTGACAAAGTACAACACAATGCCATGGATTTCGTTTTCTTGCACATCTTTAGTAAAGTAATTTGGAAGGCCTCTGTAATGTAAGGATAGAGCCTATAATGAACTTATATGTGTCTGCAATATTCCGGTAAAATAGAAATGTTTCTTTTTATATATACAGAGTCTCTGGGCCAGTTGGGTGGTAAAAGGTCCGAAATCCACGTTCTTCTTCGCTGGAGACACTGGATATTCTAAAGATTTTAAAACGATAGGGAAAAAATACGGACCAATGACGTTAGCTGCTATCCCCATAGGCGCATATGCTCCAAGGTAAAACGTTTGCCAAGAAGTATATTAATATTGTATGTATTTTGGCGGGTTTTTTTCTTTGGGGGGAGGGGAGCAAATTTTAGCCGATTCATATATTTTTTGAAGGAATTAAAATTTTTCTAATTTTCTCAGTTAACCATTCCATATTTGGTACATGTTTATGTAACTACTCTTCATACAAGGTTTATGTGATAAGCTTCAAGCTGTATTGCCTTAATTCAGTCTTATAAAAGATAAATTTGTGTCTACTTTTTATTCAGAGATTTCTTAAAGTATCACCACGTAAATCCAGAGGAGGCAGTACAAATCCATACAGATGTCCAGGCCAAATTTTCGTTAGGAATACACTGGGGGACATTTAGAATGGCTTTGGAGGTATATATATTGTTAATGCCAAAATAAAGACATATAGGGAATATTTTTATCTGTTAACAAAGTATAAGCTAATGAATTAATAAAAAAAAAAAATAACGCCGAGCTATATATAGTTATATTATCACTCATAAGATAACTCATTTAGAGACAATACGATAGTGAAAGGCCTTATGAAATAATAATGTACATGTATGTACAAAAGTTCAAATATTTTATAATAATGATATTATATATATATATATATATATAAAAACTTTAATAAGAAAAATTGTATGATGGAAAAATCCAACTGAATGTTCTAAAGTGATTGTGCATGTAGGATAGGTCGAATTCCTTTTAAATTTGTTTCATAATTTCTAATGATATATGTCTATTATGTAAGCACAGTCTGATACACTTTTTCTCTTCGTTTATAACTGTTGGAATTTTATTTCAGCCCTACGATGAATGTGTTAATCGAGTAGCAACAGCCTTAAGGGAGAAAAACTTACAGCCTGTATCTTTTTTTACCTTACGGCACGGTCAAGTGGTTACAATTGGTGGAAATGACATTAACGAAGTTGATTAATTTTTAAGAGTCCAAACCAACTTTTTTAAATAATGTAAAAATGTTTGATAAGGCCAGATCGCGACAAGACCACAATAGTAAATCATCGGTTTCATTTTCAACATATTCTAACAAGATTACGGTGTATCGATAACTGTTACCATTGTGTGTGTGTTTAAGAAGATAATCTGTGTTTGTTGTGTATGTTATGTGAAAGATATTTTGCTAAGTAAATCCATGCCTACAAATATTTCATTTCATTGCAATAATTTTTTAATCATTCGGATGTGATTAATGATAAATTAATAAACCTGTTTACCTTTAGAAAAAATTAAGAAAAACTACAAAAGATGAGATTTAACCTCATTTTTTATGCAGCCTATTGGACATTGGATCTTTTATAAGGGGCATGGTGATGACGAATCAAACTGGAAAGTATTGTTTTTAATCAACAATAATAATGATAATTTTTAATATTTTTTAACAAGATTTTCTATTATACTCTATTTTATTCCCATCAAGAAATACGAGGTTATCTTTGGATTATATATATGAATACAAATAAAATATAAAAAGATCGTATCACATTTCATTTTTTTACATTACTCTTCCGTATTTACAATCTATTTTTGTTTTCTCTGTTCAACTAGATCTGTGCCTCTTCTCTTTACTGGGAGCGAGCTTTCACACTGTAGTTATAATAGAAAAGAAAGATGGCATTGTATGTGAAAAGGACAATCTATAGACTTAATAGAGAGTATATTTAAATAGAAAATGTATGCTTTCTTTTTTTCAACATTTAAGAAATAAATAACAAGTTTATAAACTTCAATGGGAATTGAAGTGGGTCGGTCACGTGATCAAATCCTGTGAAGGCCGAAGGCCTTCTCAGAAGATTTGATCACGTAACAACCCACTTCAATTCCCATTGAAGTTTATAAACTTGTTATTTATTACTTATATATACATTTGAGACAGACAATTGAATATTTTCGAATTTAAATTATTGCACTAACCGTCCGTCGTAGATTTTGAAAAATAATCGGCTTGCATGGCGGTTACGCTTCGAATTCATTAGGCTAAGGAATCTATTTCGAAGGGAATATTTTGTGAAAGCTACTTGTGATCAGTAATAGTGAACAGATTGTTTTCTGGGAATATTTTATTCGTGAAAAATGATAATTGATGCTGAAAAGGCATAAGAAACATGTCCGAAGTTTGATGATAAAAAGTTGGAGGAATTTCGGTCGCTGGAAAGGGATGGATGGATCTGATGGACTGAGACACTTGTCCGAGCCAGTTAATTTGAAATTTGATCAAAAACATTCCACGGTTTCAGTTACTAAAGGCATACTTATCGTAAAACACTGATAAACACGGAGACACTGGCGACAGCTTTACATTGAACTACGAAAACGCCGGGTGTTTGGCAGCTGTTCATGGCATGATTGCAAAGATATTTTCCAACAGATTTACACATTTATCGTGAGTAAAATTTAAAGATAAAATAAAAGTTTATCATGAAAATTTAACCAAAGGTCTTTCCAAAAAATAAGGATGAACGTTAGAGACTATGCAGCTGACAAAAGTGAAGAAAAATGTAAACAAACGCTAAAAAAAAGTTTTCTCTATGTACACAGGTTGAATCGATAGCCCCAAAACTGTATGAAATGAAATACTTGTTTACATTTAAAATAAAATAATTATCATTTTACTTGTGCTTATTTTATTCATTTTTATACATGAAAAGCAAGTAGAGCAGGTCATTTTATAATTTATGTACCGGTAGATATTATTGCGCCGTGTGATTAGGTCACGTATTGACCTCTGACCTCTGACAAACTTCATACAGAATTGAAGATATTTTCTCTCTGTATGTTTATATAATGGAGAGATACCACAAATGTATATATTATCACATATAAAAATCGTTTTTTTTTTTAAATTCATAGAATAAATAATATCTAGTGAAATTTATCCCTTACAAATTATATTTATTCTACCTATAGTTAAAAAGGTCTTTGTTAAAGGGACTTGGACGCATTGGCTCAACTCCAATATAAGGATAAAGTAGTACTTTGACTGAAACAATATAAACATATTCATACATCACTGTATATTGTAGTAATATAGTAAATATTTCTACATTCCACACATGGATTTACTGTCGACCAGGGACAGGTCGACGGTTGACAGTTGACACTTTCCATATGATATACTGTCGACCGGGGACAGGTCGACGGTTGACAGTTGACACTTTTCGTATTATCTACTGTCGACCGAGGACAGGTCGACGGTTGACAGTTGACACTTCCCTTGTGTTCTAGTGTCGACCGGGGACAGGTCGACGGTTGACAGTTGACACTTTGCATATGTTCTACTGTCGACCAGGGATCGAGAGGTCGACGGTTGACAGTTGACACTTTTCGTATTATCTACTGTCGACCGGGGACAGGTCGACGCTTGGCAGTTGACACTTCCCTTGTGTTCTAGTGTCGACCGGGGTCAGGTCGACGGTTGACAGTTGACACTTTTCATATGTTCTAGTGTCGACCAGGGACAGGTCGACGGTTGACAGATTACACTTTTTGTATTATCTACTGTCGACCAGGGACAGGTCGACGGTTGACAGTTGACACTTCCCTTGTGTTCTAGTGTCGACCGGGGACAGGTCGCCGGTTGACAGTTGACACTTTGCATATGTTCTAGTGTCGACCAGGGACAGGTCGACGGTTGACAGTTGACACTTTTCGTATTATCTACTGTCGACCGGGGACAGGTCGACGGTTGACAGTTGACACTTCCCGTATATTCTAGTGTCGACCGGGGACAGGTCGACGGTTGACAGTTGACACTTTGCATATGTTCTACTGTCGACTGGTGACAATAAACCTAATCACAGGTATTAATGCTAGACTAACCCTAATCACAGCTATTAATGCCAAACTAACCCTAATCACAGGTAATAATGCGAAACTAACCCTAATCACACCTATTAATGCGAAACTTACTCTTTTCACATTAATAAATGCCAGACTAACCCTAATCACAGCTATTTATGCAAGACTAACCCTAATCACAGCTTTTAATGCGAGACTAACCCTAATCACAGTTTTGAATGCGAGACTAACCAACTGTCAACTGTCCCCGGTCGACAGTAGAAATGGTTAAATGTCAACTGTCAACTGTCCCCGGTCGACAGTAGAAATGGTTAAATGTCAACTGTCAACTGTCCCCGGTCGACAGTAGAAATGGTTAAATGTCAACTGTCAACTGTCCCCGGTCGACAATAGAAATGGTTAAATGTCAACTGTGCCCGGTCGACAGTAGAAATAGTTAAATGTCAACTGTCAACTGTCCCCGGTCGACAGTAGAACCGAATCACTACTTTTATATAAATATAAGCTTCCGCATAGGGACTACATACCCTTATATTGGAGTTGACCCGACGCATTTTCAACTAAAATATTTTAAATTTATTTTTCCATTTTTTATGTTCACAAATACTTCATTAACGTAATTTTGATTGATTATCAAACATTTGAATTTCAGTTATCGAGATACAAGACCAATTTAGAGCTTCAACTTTATTATGTAATCAAAGCCCATACCATGTTTTGTTTACTTTGGTTTGATATACTACATTTGTGATACATGTTCGTTCAAAACATTTTTTTCAGGAAAAAAAATTAATTCTTAATACGATTAGACAGTTTGTAATGCTTTGCTGAATCTTCTTTTGTTATAAATATGATATTTTCTATATGTAAACAAACACAAGACACGGTCCTTGTTTATATAATTAAGAGTTTTAAGTTCTGTATCTCCTATGTAAATCAACAAATGATGTTCAAATTTTTGCTAATCATTTAATTAGGCATTGTAAACATTTAAGTTGGTTGAAAAGAATATAGTTGAAATTGTGCCCATGTCCCTTTAAAGGTCGAACCGTTCCTTAAAAAAAACTGGTCTTACTTTGTATAACATCATAATTATTGATCCCCTGGAACTTTAAACTTCAGACCACAAAGCTCGCGACACCGCACATTTTACCTGTTTATTTATGTTGTCAAGAGTAATTTTATTTTTAAAACGGCAAACAAATAGACAGGATTTTTAATATCATGAACTAAAAATCTGCTGAATTAAAGGTATGTAAGAATCAAAATTAAAGTACAATTCTTTCTGAAATATCTTTAATCATTTTTCTTTTGAATTAACCTCAATTTCGTAATAAAGTTAATTAAGAAATAGTCAAGATCTCCGTCCACAACGCATCATTGATTTTTTTTGAAATTTATTTTATCTGGGATGGAGGTATCAAAACCATCATTAGTAAGTCTAACTTACTGTGTTACTTTTCAGTTACTAATCATGCTTACATCTGACATACATACATGTGACGGATTTATTACATATTAACGCATTGTCTGAGTATGGGGTTACACAAGGGGTAGAATTAAGCAGAAATGAATATTCTTTTATACGTGTACGTTAACGAGATTTGCTCCTCAGCTTTTCTGCAGATTTTGTCTTGGTCTCTATTTGAAAAAAATTCTACAACAATGCTTTAGATTTAGCAATAAATTTTGATTCTGTAAGGCTAATTGAACTATATATACAATATTAACCCCATAGTTAAATTCCATACCGTGAACATTTTTTAAGAAGAAAAGATAGTGAAATGATCTATGCTGGTTTAATCATATATCAAATTGCCTTTCATGGATTCTATCATCATGTTTGGCAAATTTATCAAAATTAATATATTTTGAAAGAGCTCGAAAAAATAGCCCAATTGAGGCTTATAACTAATATAACTAAGACTAGATGTGTATTTCAGTAATATCTAAAAATTAACATAACTGATCCCCACTTTTTATTTCAATTTCTGGATATACAAGGTTGTTTTAAACAGTCTACGTGCATTCTAGAAATAATAAGCTACAAATTTCAAATGATATAACTGTTTTACAGATACATGTAGAATATTAAATATTTTAAATCTCTTATAATTAACAGGATTTTCAAAGCAATGGATCTCCAACGTAATGCCCAGACAGTTATTCAATGTGACCTGTGTGAGACTGCTGGGGTACAGATGCTTTGTGATGTCTGTAATGTCAATTTATGTATAAATTGTATTGGAAAACATGTTTCTGATGGCTACGACAAACACAACGTGGTTCCATTCAAAGTACAGAAATCAACCTTGATTTTTCCAAGGTGTACAATACATCCTATCAAAAGCTGTGAGTTACAATGTAAGGATTGCAACATTCCCATTTGTTCATTTTGCTCGGAATCCAAACAACACGAAGAACACGAACTCTTACCTCTTTTAGAAATGTTTGCTGCAAAAAAAGAATTCATTGAAAACGAGGAGAAAGAATTAAAGAACTATGTTTCCTCAACATATAGAACAAGGGTTATTGAAATAGAAGCTGAGATGACCAGGATACATGGCGATTATGAAAAACTTTGTGAATTTGTGACAGAACGGGGAAAACAATGGCACAGAATGATTGAAAAAATCACTAAAGAAATGCTAGATGAAATTAATGAGATGAAGAGCAGACACCAGAGTATTCTGAAACAACATCTCGAGGAAATCAAAATGATACAGTCTCTTATTGACCAAACACTGCTTAATATAAATGAAATCAAGGAATCTAATGATGTGGCCGTGGCTGTGGAGTACACCTCTAGAGTCAAAGAATTTAATAAATTTCCCCCCAAAATTCAAATATTCCTACCCACCTTTAGTCCACAATATATAGACGCTGGACTGGTTCACAAATTATTTGGATCTTTAACACCTTTACTTGCCAAACGAGAAGCGGAAAGTTACAGACTTCTGAATCCTGAAGCCACAGCAAAGGCACTGTTGGAAGAATCAAAGCTGATCTCTTCCATAAATACTGCAAGCACAAATCTTCGCAGTGTAACATGTCTTAAAGAAGAGGAATTCTGGACATGTTCAAGGGTCAGTGGTTTAATACAATGCTTCAGCACGCAAGGCTTACTCGAATCTTCTGTCAAAACCAAATCCAGAGAATCTCCAAACGATATAGCTTTGACCAGTGAAGGAGATTTGTTATACACGGACTGGAAAACAAAAACCGTGAATAAAGTGAAAAACAAAAAAATAAAAGAAATGATTAGAGTACAAGGCTGGATCCCTAACAATCTCTGCGTGACCTCCTCTGGCGATCTACTGGTTACCATGTACAGTGATGATAAAACAACTCAATCTAAAGTTGTCCGTTACTCTGACTCCACCGAAAAAGATACAATCCAGTTTGATGATGAGGGTAAACCACTTTATTCTGGAAACAAGCTCTCTAAATATATCAATGAGAATAGAAACCTGGATATATGTGTGGCTGACTATGGAGCCGGTGCTGTAGTGGTGGTCAATCAGGCTGGAAAACTCATGTTCAGATATACTGGCCACTCCTCAACTATTAAGATAGACCCATTTAAGCCAAGAGGAATCACAACAAACAACCATTATCAGATCCTGACAGCAGATTACGAGAACCATTGCATTCACATCTTAAGCCAAGATGGACATTTCCTCGGTTACGTAGATGATGTGACAACCCCATATGGTCTGTGTGTGAACGAAAGTGATTATCTCTTTGTTGCTGAGGATTATACAGGAGATGTCCTGAAAATTAAATATGTCAAGTACTAGGAACTAAAGAATAATCGACTTTGCACTGAATGACTTAACTTAATATACTGTCAAAGAAAATCATGTAAAAATGATAATCTCTTTGTTGAAGAGATATTTACGGTGAATGCAAAGAAAATCAATTATATCAAGCACTAGTCGTTAAAGACTTACCGATTATGCACTCATTGCATTTTCTTATATAGTAAGAGAAATACATGTAAAAAAAGAACTATATTTCATTTATTTTTCTTACCATTTCTAAACTTTTGTATAATTACATATTTCCGTGAGGTCAAATTTTCGTATTTTGAGGGAAAAATCTTGGTTCATGGGGATTCGATTTCTTGAATGAAGTATTGTTGATTAATTATGCATGTTATATTTTACATTTCGTGGTGAAGATGAATTCGTGGGCCTCTTCATACCTCAATTACACCGGACATCAACCCTAACAAAAATTTGTGATTTAACAGTATTTTAAAGGGAAAAAGTATCACCAATTCAATAAAGTATCGTATTGGGGCTTCCTCTGAGTGTCAACACACGTACTTTTAAGAGTTATGTTTAATGTAAAGTGTGATCTTAGTTCAATTTAAAACCAATACTCAAAAGAAAATCAAGTTGTAAACGAAATTTTATCTACATATGGTAAACTCTATATGGGATGTATATCCAAAGTAAAATCATAGCATTCTTTTACTCTCCAGCCAAACCATTAACTTAGAAATAACAGTCGTCATCGGACAGACGTATCCAGTTTTGTTCCCTAAATGTTTTTTTTTATGGGAGAAAACGGATCGGACTACTGAGTATCATATAATATCAGACTGATTTGCCTAAGTTGTGTTGATCATAGTGTTTTCTTTTGTCCAAGGTGTAATAGATTCGATTGATAATAAGTTGACACTTGTTACGCTTTTATTATAAAAGTTTTACATTTTTTATTTCATGAATGGGTCTATAAGGCTATACATGACAAAGTTTTTTCAATAATGATAGAAAGTTTCATATACCGGTATATTTATCTTAGGGAATAAAGGCCTTTTGCGCAGAGGGCCGACTTTTACAGATGACGGCTAACTTTTACACTAAGACAAAGTACAGAAGCTCTGATTGTTGATCCTTTGCAATCTGTACATTATATCTCGAAAATTTTAAATTTTTCCTGTACCATCATAAATCTTTATATTGCTAAAACATTTTTTTTTGTTATGAACAAGAAACATACTTCTGAGCCTTTTATTCAATGCATTATCCGATTAAGAATCCTGAAAAGTGAGAATAATAGGAACTTCCAGGATGATTGTTAGTCCCTCCTATTGATGTGAAACCTGCAGGCGCATTATACATCCTGACGTCAACTTCGTCTCCAACTTGAAGCTCTACAATTGTGTTCTCTGACTTCTTCAACCAGGAGCCCTTCCACTCAATGTACAAGTATCTCACAATTTCTCGGTTCTTCATTATCTGTACTCGAAAGAGATCTGGTGCCGTTTTAGGAGTGTAAGGGCCTAATGTGAGAGTGAAAGAATACACGCCTTGAACGGGGGCGGTAAATACACCAGCTGTGTCGTTGTAGCCATTACCCCTGTTAAACAAGACTTTGTCGAACTTCAGAGGCCCCTTTTCCACTTTGACATCGGTACTTAGGCTGGCGTGGAAGGCGACCACCTGCCTAGTACCTGCTGATGAGCAAAAAAGGTATGAATAATTAAAATATACCTAAGTTTGATTACATTAAAGCTTACTAATATGTATATCTCGACCTTTGCAATCGAAGAAAATTGGCATTTATGAAAGTATACATGTTTTAAAAAAGAGAATCACAAAATCACTGTTTTATTTGCTGGGTTTGCCAGGACATCAACGTTGATGTCACTGACATATCCAATAAACTAGGCAATGGTTCCTTATACATGTAATCTTTTCATTTATATTTAAAATAAAAATATTAATAAAGTAAAAATAAATACTGTATAGAAGCATTAAAACACGAGGCATTCCCTACAATTACCATAGTCGCTCTCCAGAGACGTCAAACAGAAAGAAGGAAGAGAGAGGTTAATAAGAAAATTAGGCAGTTGTCCGTTCACTTTACGAAACTTACATTTGGTTATAAATATAAAAAAAAAATCAACATACTTAACTTTAAAGCGCTATAACAGAGAAAATGGGAATGTGAATAGTATTTCAAGACTTCCATATGGCGAATCACGAAAGGTATAAAATGAGATTCATGATTATAAAGAAAACTTTCAAAAGAAATGTGAAATGAGAATAGTGAAAGCTTTCATCAAATACCAGACATGTGATAATTATCTCTTTTTCTACTTACCAGTTTATTTGTCAATGAATAAATCAAATTAAAAAAAAGATAGCAGAAGAAAATTCTGACTCAAATCCAGATGTGAATGAATAACATTAACAAATGAAAAATTTGAAAGCATGTATAATATAATCAACACAAAATTAAACTAAACTGATTTTACTGATGACATACCTGCTTGAATATTTTTCATCTCCGTTTCCAGATTTTGTATTCTGGTTTCCATTGTTAAGTCATGTGTTTTAAGACAATTCTCATACTGGGACAGAGTATTGGAACAGGAGTGCCTGTCTCCAGACAAAGACCCAGTTACTGCGAGGACAAAGAAATTTAATAATAAAAAGTAGCCAGGAATCATGTCCGTCTTCTGTACTATCAAATCAGCCAGACCTCTGCTTCTTGCAAATAACTGGCTCTTATATAGAGCTTACATATATCAACATCATTACTTTGAAAGGGTTTCAGCCGCTTAGAAGATAAATTACCGATAGTTAACCGATCAGTTAAAAGCAATGCACGAACAGTAGTTAATCCATCACATAATTATGATATCGTGATAAGAGCAGAAAAAACAGCTATGAAATGTGTTGAATGTTTTAACTGCAATTGCTTGTGTCAATCAAAATAGCATCAATATTTGTATTAACTGAATATGTTCTCCATTACAAATAGTGTTTGAAAAATGGACCTCCTGGAAATTCCAAATCAGATGGGATCAGAAATGAGATGAGACCAAATGGAATCAGATACCAAAACCTTTGGGCAACACCATCGGTTAAGTAAACAATAAAATAAACTCAAACAGCACAAATTTGACCTGTCACACCTGCCGTGAGCCCTTTGTATTGATCAAGTAAATACACATTTAAAGACAATGTTGTTACCTGCTTTGTCAGCTGGGACTATGTTAAGGATGCGGTGAGCATTATATTGGCCAAAGTAGGAATACTCTTAGACACTAAATGACCGCCCATAGTCTCGAGATTTGTCAAACCGAGTACAAGTGCACTGCCGTAAGCAGACATATTAGAACATGTGCAAAATCATATTTCGTAATTTCAGAATGTTTCCAACAAGTCTTCCGAAAACATGAAAAGAAAAACTTTTTATTTCATTTTTTCAACCAATGCTAATTTCAACATTATGATACACAATTTTTCCAACGATACCCTTTAAAACAAATGTGTATCTATAGCAATATGTCAAAACTTTTGATGGTATAATTGAAAGCGGTAGAGCTTAATCGGCGTCCTGTTATTTTATATTTTTTGAATATACTTCTGTGGATTTCTTTTTTATACTTGGATATATATATAATAATAATGCACTGCCTATTAAAAGAATAACTAAATACTTAAAATCAGCATACCGAAACTTGTAATTATTTTAATACAGTTTTAGTAAATCATCCATTTAAATCATTGTTTGAAAGCATGAAAAATAAAGCAGTAAGCTTAAGGGACGATTATGATTTGCTCATTTTATGTCATACTCGTACATTTATGTATTTTTGATATCACATGGAAATCCTATAAAATGTTGTTTACATACATACATTGTTCATATGTATATTTCTAAGTTTGACATGGACGTATGTCACTAACAAAATATATAAATTAAGAGAAAAAAATAAAAACACTGTATATCTTCTATTAGTCTTTCAGATCGTTTGATGCATAGAACAAAAGGAAAAACAGCACTCGAAACTAAAGTTTTGTACCCCCAAATCTGTTATTTCCAAAATAATCAAGTAGTAATAATTGGTTTGCTTGTCTCAGTGCTGATGTTTATGCTGAATTAAGAATCCTGCAAAGTGTGAGCTGTAGAGGGTTCCAGGATATGTAGAGTTTCCTCCTATCTGTGTGAATTCTGCAGGAGCAATAGCAACCATGGTGTGAACTAGGTCTCCTTTCTGAAGCTCTACCAAAACGCTCTCAGACCTCTTGGTCCATTTGCCTCCCCAGTCTATGAATAAATACCCAATAGTTTCTTTGTTTTTCTTTATATACATTTGAAAGTAATCCGTCGCTTTTTCAGGCTGGGGTAGGCTTATTGTAAGCGTGAATGAATAGACGCCATCGACGGGTGCGGTAAACACACCAGTGGTGCGGTTGTAACCATCACCCTTGTTGAGCATGACGTTGTCAAATTTTAAATGTCCCAAGACGGGTGTGACAGATGCACTAAGACCACAGAAGAAGGACACAACTAGGCTTGTCTCTGTTAATAAAAGATAAAAAAAAAAATAACATGTCATACAAAGTTTTAAAAAGTATACATCTTGATCAAACATTGGTATGAAAACTCATTTTCGCAAATATTCACAGAGGAATTTGAATTGCTTTTCCAAATATAATATAGAAACTTTTATCATTTCTATTATCACTAAGAAGTTAAATTATCCTTAAGGCTATTTAAATATCTTCATATTCTGTATTTAAAAAAAAGAAACTGCGTGATTTACCCTTGTGGATCTTTTTCATTTCAGTTTCGAGTGAGTGAAGCCGGACTTCCATTGCTGTGTGTTGTGTTTTGACACAATTTTCATACTCAAATAATTCCAAGGAACAGGAATTCCTGTCCCCACACGTCGACCCAGCCACTGTGACGATACAGAAAGCCAACAAAGAGAAGTAGAGAGCCATAGCTTCTGTTCCCCTGATTTAGTCTTGATATTGGTTTTCGTGTGTTCTCCCTTTTTATAGGAAAACAGCAAATCACACGAGAGGGACACTTCAACATTTTTACTCTACGACCACTTAAAACTCATTACCCTTAGTGACCATTGACTCTATACGGACACTTAAAACACAACTATCTCAATTTATTATCATTGACCTAAGAAAGGATAATCTTATTTACAAAGAGGTAAATTGTATAACAATTACTTAATTCTTTCTTTAGTAAATTACGGTCAATTCGATTCGTTTATCATATACGGCTATCTTTTTAATGAAGTTGAAAAAGTGTTAGAAAAGTCAAGCAGATAGAATTTGAGAGGATATTGACCGTAGTCTTAGGTCAAACATGTGAGCCATTTTGTGTAACTCTATGAATTATTTTATATTTTCTTTAAAGACAAGAGTTAAGTATTGAACATTGTTACTTAATAAACCCAAAGGAATTTATCACAAAAGTTCACCAAAATAAATATCACAAAAACGTAGAATATCTTTACAATTTATACAACATATCACAAATTTTACCAAAAACGATGTGACCTTTCGCTGTTTACAAACAAAAATAGACCATAAATTAGCATATACTTTCCTTCAGGGAAATAATTTTGGCATTGAATATGGATATACTTAAAAACTCTATGGAACATTTGGAAAATTTAAAAGTACCAAGTTTTACCAAAAGCAATAGCATTTAAAAAAGTACATCTTATCAACACTTTACAAAATTTTTACCAAGATCAATGACAAAAACATAAAAGCAAAGAATTTTTTAACACTGTATACAACCATTTCCCACGATAATTTAAAGCCCATGCTTTATAACTTTTTAAACTTATAAACAAATATTTTTCAATAAAAATGGAAACCATAAATATCTTTTCCTTACTAGCTGCTTGTCATAGGTAATTTGCAAAACTAAATTATTCTGAGTCTATAGACATGTACTCTGAAGTTGATCTTAAAAAGATGATTGAGTTATCTTACTGACAATATCTATGTTAAAAAATTTTGTCTTCTTAGAAGTAGCTGGAAATCTCATGGGTATGAACTGCGCCATTTTATTAACACATCTATTTTTGTACTCACGTGAAACAGAATTTGTTCTAAAAAGAAATTCTATATTAGAAAAAGAAAAATACTGTGGCCTTCAACTGGACACTTTAAAATATATATATTTATATATATATATATATATATATATATATATATATATATATATATATATATATATATATATATATATATATATATATATATATATATATATATATATGATCGTTTTTGAAACTGTTTCTAATTATGGCAGAAAATTTAAATGAATTCCCTTAACCGTTTTTGTTGTTGTCTTCAGACTAACACAAGAAATTATTTTGATGGACATACTTTCCCTAAAAATTCATAATCACCTAATTAGGATATGTTCGGTCGGCAGGGGATGTTCACCTACCTCTGATGTTTTAGAGGTCCATGTTTGCTCTGCCCCTATTTTGTATATTTTAATGGACATTTCAGCTTGAATAATGTTTGTTATTTCCATATATTTCATTAAAAGAGAATTTAAAGATCCCCTTTAGCATTATATATATATATATATAGAGAGAGATATATTAATATATAATTATAAATAGATATATATATATATAGATCCATTTTCCGGCCTGCAATTACTTCAAATTTCCAAGTTGTACTTTCTCTTTTAATAACTGCATGTAAAATTTGAAAGTAAAGTTAAAACAAAAGGTACATCCAGATTTATATTTAATGCTGTTCTTGTGAGCCCACCATACAAGGAAAGGATGCAGTGATTTCTCTAAAAATGGAAAAAATGATTCAGTAAATATTCTAGAAAATTTGAATTTTGTAAATTTCATGGAGAAATTAAATGAAGCAGATGAATGATATATTCAAATAGATATTTCATGAGTTTCAGTAATAACTGAACATATTATCAATTATTGCTGTCAGCCAATACGTGGACAAGCATTGACATTGTCAAGATTCATATATTTAATAACTACGGTTACTTGTTGCTAGTTGTTCATACTTGTTCATAACTATAAAATTCTGTACTAATCAAGATTGAAAAATTTACAACCTTGGTCAGGTTACGTGAGAAAGGGGCCATTTAAAGGCATACCATCCATACATGGGCGTACCTTTTGTTTTAACCATACAATCCATGTTCATCGTATACTTCTTTGTATATTTTGAATAAAATACTTCTTAAACTTAATAACATACGATCATCAGTTTACTTTAACTGTTTAAAAGTGCATAGGCACAGTTAACATTTTCTGTATAATATCACAACGTATATTTTATGATAAAGTTTCACACGAAAATAAATAAAATATCTTATTTCATCTAAATGTTATTGAAATTTTGAATTTTTGGACGGGTCTGATTGATACATCCTTGCACTTTCACAAATTTTGATTTTTTTCTTAATCCTTATATTAGGAAAAGTGACAATCTTGTTGTGTATATAAGAAAAATATTAAAACTTTAATCCAGAAAAAAATATTATATTCAGAGTAGAAATGTTCGACAGAAAAAACCCCTTCACAGGTTTTGTCATTCCTTTATGTTTTTAGATGTTTGGCAGTAACTATATCCATTTCTTTCCTTCATTAAGGATTGAGTCCTCTCTTTTTATGCGCCCGGATCGATAGATCCGAGGCGTATATTGTTTTTGTCGTGTCTGTTTATCTGTTTGTCTGTTTATCTATTTGTCTGTTTGTCTGACTGTCTGTTGTCATCTTTAACCTTCGCCATAACTTTTGAACCATGAGAGACAGAGACTTCATATTTGGTATGCATACTCCACCAATAAAGTTCTTTTAAATGACATCAAGGATAATGGCCTTGTGACTTTGACTGTGACCTGTATGCTAAGAATAACTTTTTCGAACTTTCACCATTACTTTTGAACCATGAGAGATAGAGACTTCATAGTTGATATGATTACTTCACTAATAAAGTTCTTTTAAGGTAGGATTCTTCTCATATTTCTTGTATTTAAATATAAATGAAATTTTCACAGAATCGAGAAGACAATATCAGTAAGTGATAGTATCAGTGAGATTAAATTTGACCGTTTTATGTTAGAGGTAAGGTCAGGTCAAGGTCATTATCTTTTTCCTTGACATTATGAATAAAAAAAAAATACTGTTGCCAATCATGTGGTGCCTACTTCTAATTCAAAAGTTTAAAGATTGTTCCTTTTGCATAAAAAGATATTACTATATCGGGTCTGTAGCATGATATCACCAAATTTACATAAATAATTTAACTAAGTTGGATATTGGCCAATCCGAATTGTCTCTGCTTTTCTTAAACTTTTAGGATATATTAGTTATTTTCGTATGCTTCCTAAATTTAACTTTTTCTTATTTTCACATATAATAAAGTTGTCTTATAAATGTACAAAATTATACAAAAACAAAAAGTTTTGATCGTTTACTATCAGAGAAAAAATACTTTTTATGGATTTTTTGCTCAAATATGTACTTTGATTGGAAGCGTTTAAAAGCTTACATAGTTCTAGTTTGTTTGCAAAATCATATTCATTTGATATATTTTGAAAGTTTAGTCCCTTATTATTAATTTAACTTACATTTGAAAATTTCTTCAAGTCTTTGATTGTGTAAAAATTATAGCTAAATTCATTGTTCTTTTATAATTTATGGAGGCAGAAAAGAAGATATTTTCATACGCCACCATTCCGCCAAAAATATAGTCCCTGCTAGTTTTCAAATGCAGTTTACCATTTCTATTTAAAGTTGTACAATTCTGATGAGGAAAGAAAAATAATGTCTTTTAAATCCCTTACACCTAAATATTTAAGACACATAAGCAAATATACTTTGAATATTTCATCTAGTCAGAAACCAGAGAAGAATCCTACCTTAATTGACACTAAGGTTAATGACTTTGTGACCTTGACTTGACTTATCTGCTAAAAATAGTTTATTGAACTTTGTTGCCGCCGGGTGCATGTTGTTTCACAATAATATTTTGTTTTCCCATTGTTTGGGACTGTTTTCTTTTCCCGAAAATATGAATTGTTCATGTCTTAAAAGTTTTCATTAGTTTCATTTAGAAACATTTTGCTTTGAAATATATGGTCGATTTTTTACAGATCACTTGGAAATCCTTTCAAATGTTTACAAACATACTTTTTATGCCCCCGTAACGAAGTTTCGTGGGGTATATAGTTTTTGTCGTGTCCGTCCGTCTGTCTGTCTGTCTAGCTGTCTCTCTGTCTGTCTCTCTATTTGTCTGTTTGTCCGCAAAAACTTTAACCTTGCCCATAACTTTTCATTTATAGGAGCTATGACTTTCATATTTCACATTTGTATTCCTTGTTACAAGACCTTTCTGTGGGTACCACCAAATTTGACCTTTTGACCTTGGAGTTTGACCCACTTTTACACAAAAATTCCAAACGTTTACTTTGGTCATGTCTTTTGAACAGTAGATATCAGGCCATTCATACTTTACATATGTATCATTTGTGGAAAGACCTTTCGCTATAACTTTTGAATGGTAAGGGATACGGCTTTCATACTTTACATATGAAATCCTTCACTGGATATCCAGGACTTTGACAACTTGACCTTGACCTCGGAGTTTGACCTAATTTAAAAAAAGCAAAACTTGACTAGAACTTTTAAAGGGTTATGGCTAGTGCTTTCATACTTTGCATATGTAATGCTTGTGACAAGGCCTTGCATTTGATAGCAAGTCCTTTGACCCTATGACCTTGACCTTGGAGTTTGACCTACTTATTAAATTTAACCTTGGCCATAACTTCTGAATGTTTAGAACTTCAGCTTCGATACTCTACTTTCGCATTCCTTGTGGCAAGACCTTTCATTTGATGCCAGTTACCTTGACCTTTTGACCTTGACCTGGGAGATTTTCGAACTTATGAAAAGACTTTAACCTTGGCCATAACTTTTGAACGCTAAAGGCAAGTGATCTCACACTCTATGTATATGTAATCCTTGTGAAAAAACCCTTCATTGGGTACCAAGATTTCGAAGCTGAGAAAATTTTTTTTACCCTGGTCCGATTTCATTTTTCAGAGCTTTATTTCCAGTGAGATTGCATTTAAGAAAAGTTTAATCTTCACTTATTTGTTGCCATATGGAGGCATCCGTGTTTAACAAACACATCTTGTTTATTTGTTGTTTCTAAGTTCAACTTGCACATGCGTCAATATCAAAATATAAAAAAATATCAGAAACAAAAAGAAAAAAACACTGGATATTTTTTTCGTCATTTTTAATTTTTGATGCATTGAACAAAAAAAAAACACACTCGAAACGTAGTTCTGTCTCGCAAACCTCTTACTTCCAATAATGAAGTAGTAAAAATTGGTTTGCTAAAATGTTTCAGTGCTCATGTTTATGCTTAACTAAGAATCCTGCGAAGTGTGAGCTGTAGAGGGTTCCAGGATATGTAGAGTTCCCCCCTATTTGTGTGAATCCAACCGGAACGGTGGCTACCATGGTGTGAACTCGGTCTCCTTTCTGAAGGTCGACCAAAACGTTCTCAGACCTCTTTGTCCATTTGCCTTCCCACTCTATGAACAGGTACCCAATAATCTCTTTGTTTTTCATTATATGCATTCGAAAGTAATCCGTCGCTTCTTCAGGCTGGGGTAGGCTTATTGTAAGTGTAAAGGAATAGACGCCATTGACAGGGGCGGTAAACACACCAGTGGTGCCGTTGTAACCATCGCCCTTGTTGAGCATGACGTTGTCAAATTTTAAATGTCCCATGACAGGTGTGACAGATGCACTAAGACCACAGAAGAAGGACACTTCTAGACTGGTCTCTGTTGATGAAAGATAAAACAAAATTAGTAACATGTTTCACGATGTAAGAAAAAGTGTATACCTTGATCAAACATCGGTATGAAACTTTACTTTAGCTAAAATCCATATTGAGAACTTTTCATTGCTTTTCTAAATATCAAGAGGAAACTTTTATTATTTCAATTATCATTCAGAAGTGGCAGTAAACATTTGGTAATTTTGCTTTCCTTAAGGTTAATAAGAAATTTTCATATTACGTATTTAAAGAAAAACTGCTTGAATTACCTTCGTGGATCTTTTTCATTTCAGTTTCCAGTGAGTGAAGCCGGACTTCCATCGCTGTGTGTTGTGTTTTGACACAATTTTCATACTCGAATAGTTCCAAGGAACAGGAATTCCTGTCCCCACACGTAGAACCGGCCACTGTGACGATACAGACGACCAACAAGGAGAAGTAGAGGGCCATAGCTTCTGTTCCTCTGATTCAGTCTAGATTTTGGTTTCCTTGTGTTTTCTCTTTTTATAGGAAAACAGCAAATCACACTTCAACATTTTTACTCTACGGCCACTTAAAACTCATTACCCTCGGTTGTTATCAATGACTCTACGGCCACTTTAAAGACAATTATGTCAAGTTGTTACCAATGACCTAAGAATGGTTAAATTAATTCACTAAGAGACAAAATATAACAATTACTTACTGTACCTTCTTTGGTAAATTCTAGTTAATTCGGTTATCATGTACGTCTATCTTTTTAATGAAGTTGAAAAAGTGTTTGATAAAAAGTCAAGCACTTAGGATTCGAGAGGATCTTGACCGTAGACTAAGGTCAAACATGTGTAACCTACTGCTGTTAACAGAAGTTGTATAACTCTATGAATTAGTATATATTTTCCTTAAGACAAGAGTAACTCATTGAGTATTGTTTTTATCTTAAACTTCAAGGATCACAAAATTTCCCCAAAATATATAACACCAAAATGTAGAATTTCTCTACACATTAAACAACATATTACAAATTTTACCAATAGCGATAGCATCGAAACGAAGGATCAATTCTTTAATTAACAACCATTTCCAAAGATGAATTAAAGTCCAGACGTTTTAACATCAAAGACAACTGCCTTTTAATAAAATGGATCTCAAAAAAATACTTACCTTACTAGCGGCATATCATTGATAATCTCACCTCTTTAACATGTTTCTTAAATAATGCCATTTCTTTTTTCTAGTTCTGTATATAAATTATTGTGAAAAAAGAAAGAGATGTTTTTTTGTTGTTTTTTTTCTAAAATGCAAGTTTTGAATGAATATTTTTAAATCTCATGCTTTACTCTCTTTATATGAAAGCTAAATGAATAAACATTATAATAATATAATGCCATGATTTTTATGGTGTAAATGGTGAAATAGAATTAATAAAAAAAATCATTCAAATTAATTACTTGTCACAGCTGACAAAGCTTGAAACAACTTTGTTTTTGTATGACTCATTATCTTATTTGTATATTAGAGGAACTAAGATTCAGTTTTTGCAAATGGTAATCCAACTTACACTCATAGCTTCCTTTTTTAGAAAGAAATTCACCAAAAGTATATGTAAGATTGAAATATTTTTAATGTTCTCAAATTTGAATTCCGAAACAATTATTGGATTCCAAAACATTAAAATCCTTGCAAACACAGGTACATAGCTGGTTGAGCTTGAGCTTCTGATTGACAATATCTATGTAGTTTTTTAAGATCAGAATTTCCAAGAATCTATCGGAATTCCCATGGACACTAATTGTTCAAAACAGACATGTTTTTGTTTTAATATAAAGCAGAAATTTTATCAAAAACATGTATGAGAAAAAACACATGCTGTGGCCTTCAGCTCAACAGTTTTAATTTTCTTTTATTTTTTGAAAAGAATAAAAAAAATAATTGATGATCTCTTACGCTTTGTTGAATGCATGCAGAGAATCATTCTAAAACAAGAGTTCTAATTATCGTACGCGGTTGCTTTTGTTGAATGCATGCAGAGAAATCATTCTAAAACAGGGTTTCTAATTATCGTACGAGGTTTTTTTTCTTTTTTATAAATTTGGATTTTATTTCTTCGATCAATCTGTAGCTGTCTTTAGCCTAATAATACAGAAGTTACTTCCATGATGTCGGCGCACTTTCCTTAGAAAATCGTAATCACAGTGCGCTTAATTATTATTTTATACAGTTGAAATGAATTCAATCAAAATAAAAAGATCCAACTTCGTAAGTTCTAGAGAACACAATCATACATATTAGCTCATTTCTGATAACTCTTAATTAAAAGAGGTAAATATCCTCATTAGATTCAAATACGGTATTCACCAAACCATAAGTCTACAGCTTTATATAAAGTGTCCCTCAAAGTGACAGTATTGATATTCTCATTAAAAAAGGATCATACTTTATCAAGGCCGTTTTCCGGCCTACAATGACGTTCTATGAAAAGTGGTATTATTTCCTCTAAAAAGTGATTGAACAATTAGGTAAATATTCCAATTAATGAACATTTTTGATTGGTAATTGTTGATTCTTAAGTATTTATTCAACACCTTTAACCAACCCAAAATTAGCAGCTTCTTATAGGCATGAAAAATAAATGTCAGATTATGAACTTGGTTGAAGGTTGTTGTGACATCACTTTTGGTTTCATTTTTACGATACTTGCAGGAAAAGTTTTAATTCCTAACGAAGGCTTTCAATATATGTTGATTATTTCATACTATAAACTATGAATAACTGATTTACAGTATTCGACTATGAACTTTTTGTAAGCAACTTTTATATATCAGGAAAGAATGGACAAACAGGGAAAATTATTTTAAAAATGATCATTTTATCTGAAGAATAAAAGGTTGTATTTTTTTTAAACTGCAGAAAAAATTTAGAGGCTGTCTCTAGGGAAATAATAAACCCCCAGATATGTTTTTAAAAAGATAATTTGAAATATCCTTTCATTCTAATGAAGTCATATCATCCCAACGTAAATCATATTGTACGTACTACGACAAATTATGTCTCTTTAGCGATGCTCACGCGCAAAAGTTGGAAATCCAAAATAATGATGAGTGGCTGAAAATAAAAGGGGTGTCAAAGTCTCGAGCCAAATACGTCGAAGGAGCAGAGCTATGCATGACGGAGATATTTCCTTACTTTGAAATAACTTTCAAAATTTTACCTTTAAGAAAGCAATTAACTATATATATCCGTATTTTAGGCTAGCACCGAAGTACTTTACTTTTAGGTTGTAGAGACGTTGGGAATAAGAATCCACTGGCAAATGGTTCGACCCAAGGGGTCATAATGTAAATTATATACGGTAACAATTTTTTAATGCACAAGAAGCGCATTTTGACAAATTGTGTCTATAAAGCGATACTCATGCCGAAATGTTTAATACCTCCAGTTTCTGAATAAAACAAAATCAAAGGTTATTGTGATTTTTGTCCTCCGCATTCTTTGAAAATGGGGAATATTAATTTGGGTCTGTCGTCGTTCGTCTATCTAGCATTCTAGCTGTCCGTCTTTCTGTCTGTCTGTAACGCTTTCGTTTCCATGTGATATATCAAGAACCCTTTAAGCTTTTGCAATGGAATTTTGCATAGCAACTTCCTGTGGCCTAAAGAAGAATCCTATTGATTTGGAGGTCAAAATGTCAAAGGTCAAGGTCATAATTCATAAATTCTGTCTGATATAACACTTTCGTTTCCGCGCGATGTCTCGAGAGCCCTTTGAGTGTTCGCAAAGAAATCTTACATACTAGTAACAACTCCCTGTGGCCTAAGGAAGACCACTAATGATTTTATTTAGGTCAAAAGGTCAAAGTACAAGGTCATAAATGTATACATTCTGTTTGTGTCTAACACTATCGTTTCCGGGCGATATTTCAAAATATTGAGCTTTGTAATGAAATTTCACACCAAAGCTCCCTTTTCATTCTTATTACATCTATTAGAACTGTTTAATAAAGGCTAAATTAGACACCATGCGTTGTGTTAAACTTTGACAATATCGAACGTGAATATATACATGTATTTTATGACGTAATCGTTGTACATAATTTCTGGTCGAAGAAAGTGCTTCATGGTGTTGTGGAATGCCTCTCGCTTGACATACAAGAGAACCAGGGTTCAAATCGCGGACGATCCATGTTTTGTTTTTAATTACCTTTTTCTTACTAAATGATAGTATTCAGCATCATGCCAAAAGAAATGAAAAAGATATGACGTCTGACGTGTACAAACTCATAAAATCATCATTGCAGTATGATAAATATTCTATATAAAAAAAATCTTCTATAAACATAATAAAGAATAAGCAATCAAATCTTTATATCCATATTGGCATTTTTATTTGTTTCAATATACATGTGTAAATGTAATAATTCTACAGATTCAGTCGGGGGGGATCGGAAAAACACACCCCGAACTGCGCATGGTCCTCTCTTTCCCTAACCGGGAGACACATATTCTCTGAATCAGCTTCTTGTTTCTTTTTTTATCTTTAAGGTATGTCACTCGTGAAATTTGTTAAATCAAGAATTTTTTGAGAAGTATATTTTGGATAAGTACTCATATAGTTTGACTTAAAATCTCAGAGAAAATAGGAGGCTAGTGTGCATCTTATTGATCTACGGTACAATGAAGTTGACCTTTTTGCACTTAAATTTTAACTCTTTTGTTAATTACTTTAACCTTTATCATATTTTATCAGATGTAACCATGGCAATAAATATAATTTTATTTTACGCAACGTCTCCATATCAGTGAAATATTCTGGAGCGGGACGTTAAACAGTATACAATCAATCAATCAATCAAAATAGATTGAATAATATTTATCATTGAACAAATCTTGCATATTGATGCTCGTGAACAATTGTGTTACCTTTTTGCACTAAAAAGTAACATATTTGGGGTAATATGAAACTAAAAAGGCAAAAAAAATTTCTTAAATAAAGCTTTTGTACGGTGTAAGTGCTGATCAGTCACAAGTATCGAGTTCTTTAAAATAATGAAAGAAAAAGTTTAGGTCATTGATGTTAATTTTGAAATATTGGTCAAAATATATGATTTTCAGGCGAAAATGGTGTAAATTTTATCTTGACCTGTTTGACATATCTTCAGTTTTTGGCAAGGTCGTGGAAGGAAGGTGTAAAACTTGTCCTAAAAATATAAATTAAGACCTATATTAAATATTCCTAGCAATATCATAACGGAAAATATTCTCCGAATAAAGGTATTTGAGGCTAAAGTTCTAAGATATTAAATTTAATAAATGTGCAGATTTGCAGAATTATCTGCTAAATATTGTTCCACCAAAAGAAGATGTCCCTCATAAATTTTGCTCCTTTGTAGCTTTTTGAGCAGTTTTTTTTTTTGGTTGAATGTTAAAACATCAACATAGTTAAATTTGAATATATTATAAAAATGGAATTTTAATAAATAGTTTTGAAGTAAGAGGTTTTGCGTGAACTT